TGAAGACGAAAGAAGACACAATACTCGGGCAGAATATGTATTCAGCACAGAGAAGGTGTTTGGGCTACCGGCATGGCCCAGAGGTCAGCCCACCTTAGCGTGGTACAAGAAGGTAAATTCGAAAGTCCAAAAGTGGCGCCTCACCAATACCGAGGGATAAACCGACATTGCATTACATTAAGCTGACAAATTGGAAGGAAGTGGGGAGAAAATGTACGCTGTGTACTCCATGATTTTTCTTTTTCAAGATGTACACCACCATTTTATGCCTAGTTGAGTCATACCACTTGGAATTGTTGTGGTGATTGGACCTTTTGTTAAACTGTATGTCGGGCTGGGCTAGCAGACCCTCCTCTCCCAACCTTTCCGCCTCTTAGTGAGTAGTATGTTCTTCCACACTACTCCGGCATGTTACGACTTCAGCGAAGACTCGGGGCACTACAATCATTACCCAGCCTTAAGCATAATTAACTACAAATTCTTTGCGAAATCACATATAATGAGATGCTGCATGACAACTTTGAAAGTAATCACAAGTGGACTGCCCAGAAGTCCATGTCTAGTTGTCACCCGGTGTCAAAACCACTTTGAAGTAGTTAAAAACGGCGTTTTGTCATTTTGAAGCCAGAAAAAGATGACAGCATCCTGGATTTCGAAAACTATGAAATTCTTTTTTACGTTTTGCAGGGAAAAGGACAAGTAATTTAATTTTTTTTGCAAATAATTTTCCCCGGTAATTAGCAGAACTAAACTGTGAAACCGCCAAATTGAATCACTGTCAGAAGTTTACTTCGACGGATTCACCTTTAAGGCTACAAATTGCAAATTGTCGGTAACTCTCCTCCCAAAGTTGGCAAAAAAGGTATTAATCCTGGGTGTTTCCCAAGATGAACACTATCCTTCGTCGGATGCAATTTTTGGACAATTAATACACTTTCTCCGTGCCCTGTGTGTGATGCATCGTGAGACCACTTTGGTCAGTGAAATGCTGTTAAATTTCATCTGGCGTGAAGGCCTAGAAGCGTGGACACTAACATAAAATTAGTGAGGCATTCTCTAATTTAATGCATTTGGTTTGGAAGAATGGATTTCCACTTCCGCAAACACAAAAATTGGTTGTACTCACTCGGACGCCTCGTCATCTAATTCGACTACTTTTGTAACTATTTACACACTAATAAAGGGGTACTTTACTATTAATAAAATATTATAGATGCAATTTAAATTCTGAAATCTGACTTTATTACTGTCCTTATTCCGCTTTGCCTTTAGGACTCCTCCGCGCTGTAAATGTTCCGCATTTAGCCTGCATGAGCATTCGGGCTTTCTAGCGCTCGCCTGCCAAATTGAGCCGCTCTCCAGGTGTCGGTTGACAATGTCAGCACCATTACCCTAGGACTCTCGCAAACTCTGGTTTCCACCGCAATTTGGGTGACTGACTACTTCGATGGCTGTGCTTCACTTACACACACACACGTACACAAAGCGTCCCACATTCTTTATGAAGCAAAAAAACTAATCTTGGTATCCTGTGTCCTCTCCATTCGTGTCCCGGTCAACGTTTTTGCTTTTGCCTCTGATAAAGTCGCGTCGATCCTATGGATACACACACACTCGATCACTATCTGTCGGTATTCTGCTCCTGCACCTTTTCCTTCTTCCCCCTCCTCGGCCTTCTCCTCTACCCCCAGCAGTACTTTAGCGTGAAAATAAAGTATTTAGAGTAATAATGTACCTTCATTCCACGCTACTGTCCTCCATGCCTTTCAAATAATGCAAATAGCGGTGGGGTTTTGCACACTCAATAGGCGATAAGCTTTTCTTGTACTGAATGCGTTTGGCGGTCCACTTCATGAGTCCATCGTGTTCAGTTAAATACATACATTGTAGTTAAAAGATTTGCAAGAACCAGGAGAACTTGAGTTGGGAAATAATTATCCGATGGATGGGTTATCCACTTCCCACCTTTCGAAATTGCGAAGAGTTTACTCCGTTAGGTGGGCAAGCTGGGCGACGGTATTTTAGAAGATTTTTAGTCGAAATAAATTAACAAATGTTTTCCTTCCATTAGCATTTTTAAATGCATTTTTACTTAAATAAAATTTTGGTGATTTTTGTATTTGTATTTGGTTAATGTCGAATTCGAATGACGCTGAAAGCTAACATTAGTGCTGTCTTGGCTTCTGTCCCCCTTATTGAGTAAATTGATTCTATTTCCAGTCTTATGGCCAGATCTTTTGCCTAAGATTTGACATTTTTCCCCCAAAAAGGCGTTATTTTACTCGATGAAGAAATTCACCGTGGCAGCGGCAGATACTGCTTAAATGGTCTCAGCATCCACGTATCATCGCAGTTTGAGAATACCATCAACCCTGCCCTTTAAGAACCAAAGCTCACCGTTATTGTATGGTTTACTAAATGATATTCGTAGCGCACCTTAAGAATAGGTTTCTCTTTTAGTTAATCCACATTATTTATGGGAAAATTCTACATAATGTAGGCCCAGTAAAATAGTAAATACCTAATAAAGGGTCAGATGAGAGTAGCAATGCACGCATATCACCGATTTTACAGTAGGTAGCTACCTTTTATTTTCCACCGTTTTGGCAATTAGGCGCTTTATTTTCAGGACAAAAGGAGAGAGGCCCGAAGTGAAGATCAGATGATTTTTGACAAGTGAAAAATGGTTCCATCCTAAATCATAAAACAGTTTGTACTGAGACTATAACGTTGATTTGACCGTCTTGGCAGGTCGTAATTCAGCTACTCAGCGCTACCATATTTGTGTAGCTTAGTATAATGTGAGTAAAGGATTGCGAGGCCAAATATGCTGTTAATAATAGCGCTAATGGAGCAAATTTTCTGATGTACAACCTCTCGCCATCCTTTTGGAAGGTTCTCTCACATGTTTTACATTTCTACATGCATAGCTGCTATTGTAGTGATTTGTGGTGATGATTCATTCAGCTGATTGTTTAACTGCTCAGAGTCCTTTCTTGCCGTAGAATGTGGTTCCGTTTGGCAGTATTATTCTTCAGCCATGCCGATAGACTCACAACCCTGTTACGAACTGGCATGCCTTACTACGTCGTCGAAGAGGCGGCAGGTGCTGTTGTCGTTTCATACTAATTTAACGAATTCCTTGTTTATTAATGTTCCAATAGAATAAGGACCCAAAATATGTAACCAGTTTTGAAAACGACCTTAGTTAATGCGACTTATGTTGGCGATTGTGGATTGTGGTAAGCCTGGCCCGAATACTATGCCCAGGCCGCCGAATGCATCAACGCAATTTGAACGTAACTAATAAGTGCCGAATACGCAGAATGACAATTACAAAAGATAGAATTTTTGCTAAGACTTTATAAAAAGAGAAACAAGTTTTTTTTTAAGAACCCATTTAATTCAGGAATGATTACTTCCGGTTTTCACAAACCCTGGGAAACCGTAAATTATAAGCAAGCAGGAAGTCTCACACGATCTTTATGAACCAAATTTCTTTTGCTATTATTTGATGTATCACCAAGGCTAGCAGGAGCCACAATAAATAAAACCTTGTTTTATTGTTCTTAAAGACAAAATTAACTTGCATTCCTGAGATTTCAAGGCAGGGTTGGAAAGAAAATACATGTCCCAAATTTCGGTCACTACCGTGGTCTCACTGCTGCTCAGATTGAAACAGCTTTGTAAGTAAAACTTAAGTTTTGGATTCGTATACATTGAAATTGAAATTTTATGCGTATGCGAACATTAGAGTGTCTTTAATTTTGTTTGATTTGTTGGTAATATCATAAAACTTTGAAAACTCCATTATTTGCTTTGTACATATTCTAATTATCAAAAACAACACAAAAAGAACAAAGGCAAAATACATGATAATTAATGAAGGGCGAAATTCAACATTTTACTCTTTTTTACATCTCTATGAACGGCTTCTCGCAGCGCATTTGCTATGATTGAGTTGTGTT